TAACATGGGTTATTGTTGAGCTTTTTGTTGTACGAACGGTGCGGGATCTGGGAGAGTTTTACATGCATTTCCCAAAGACCAAATCATCCGCAAAAAATTGATTTTTTTAGTGAATCGTGTTGGATGGCAACCGACAAAATGGAGCAAGTTGTGTTCTGACCACTTCGCGTGTGAAGCATACGACGTTGATCCTGCTATCATGAAGTCTGTTGGTGGAGAAGCATTAATAGCACGTCGGAGGCTGAAACCCGGAGCCGTCCCCTCCATATTTCAGCACAAGAAACCACTGAAATAACAAAAGAGCCGGGCGATGCAGAAACGCCAAAGAATTGAGGGAAACAACTTTTGATTATATTTCAAAGCGCACGGAGCACTGCAGATAACGCAGATAACGGAATTGCAGTTTTATTGCTTATAGAGGTGGGCACCGTTAGATTCTGTGTCTTTACGATCATAAACAATGTGTTGGATGTGGAGCTAGGATAAGTAATAAGGGCGCTAGGAGTGATAGGTTAGCATTTTTCGCTCGGGGCTAATTCACTGTTAGCATTGTAGTTTATCTGCAGCTCATTCATCGCTCCTCCACTCATAACGGAAAATGTCGAACGTCCTACAGTCGGTGATGCAGACTTCTTCTCCCATCTCTTCCTTCACTTTCCCATAGTTGTGGCAGCACTTGTTTTCTCGGCTTGTAGGCATGGTCTGGCAGTTTCCACATCTACACCAATTCTCAGCACCCTCGGCCTCTTCCTCAGATGGCGAACTTGAATCATCACCATCAGCACTTTCATCGGTGATATCAGGTGACGTTTCCTTGTATTTCCTCTTCGACATCAGAGGCTCGTAGAGATAGGGTTGGATGTCGACAACATACTCCAGATATTGGGTGGCGTCCGACTCAGAATCAGACATGATAAGCCGGGTGGAAATATGTTAGGCATTGAACAAATTCCCATCCACCTCGTCCTTGTGAGGTGAGTCCGCCTGGAATTTATTTGTCTAAACCTCTCTAAAAAGGTCAAATTTCACTTGTTTTGCATCAATCTTGATACAGGGTACTTATTATATGTTATAGCTTGGATTCCTAAAGCTTTTAGTCTATAGTCTACTCAGAATCAGACATGATAGACGAAACTAGTTGATAAGCCAGGTGGAAATATGTTTGGCACATCTGACGTCACGCGCCGCCATCTTGCGGAGGAGCGGCGGAGAAAATAAATCGTCGGACTTGGTGTTGGGGGTTGAACAAAATTAATATTGCGCATTGCCAGACTCATATTATCTCCGATTTTAATACTGCAATATCTTAGATAGTGTTGTAGCTATATGATTTCGATTGTACTGGCAATTATACAAAAAGCTTTGCATTTGATCTTTAACATTCATTACGTAGCCGATTAAAATCATTAACACATAAATAAGTACTCGAATTTCACTTACCGCAAAACCGCATTCATGCACCGTCTGTTTTAACCGCAGAGCGAGTCACAATAGTCCGATATATAAGCATGAAGAACAAACAACCACGGCCGGCTTCAAGTTGTGTTCCCTGGATGAACTGAGCAGGCAGAGTCCCTGTATCTTCACGGAGCAGGTAGCAGAGAGACAAGAAGCTAGCAGCAGCAGTCACTTGACAGAGCCGTCACTCAATGTGACCACGCCCTAATTTATGCAAAAACATTAAGACCTAATATAAATAAAAGGGTCGTGTTAGAAAACAATTCACTCACAGATCCATTATCATGAAGGTTGAACCTAACTATATTCATAATAATATTTATTGCATCCATGGGTAGAAACATGTTTTTTTCTGCTGTAAAGTTGGGCATTTTAACATGGGGGTCTATGGAAATTGCTCCTTTCTGCAGTCAGTCCCTATCGGCCAATATATGAACTGCAGTGGGTGGCACTTCCGTATTGTCGTCCCGGCTCTTCCCCAGAGTTTGCCGCTTGCTCTCATCGCGACGCGATGTTTACAGTGAGAACAGCTGTGAGGTCCATGCAGAAAGCAGAGCAGTGTGTATAATATATATCACTCAGTATAACAGGCCTACTCTCTTTATTTGCTTTAGTTTAGTAAATCTACAAAGAGTCGATATTTTTCTAAAACCATTTAGTGCTTCACATAGGCCTAATAAAATACACAACGGCTGTAGCTGTTTTAGGAATTGTATGTGCGTGTGTGTGGTGTATGTGTGTGTGGTACAGTGTGTGCGTAGATGCAGCGGACAGACGGGTCTCAGTTGGTTTGGTGTCCTCTGCTTACTTTTAATACTTCTAAATAAAAACGTTTGGCCCGTAATTTATTTCCCTCATTGTAGCGACCAGAGAGGGGAGAGGGATATATCCAGTCTCTGATAGTGTTACGTTATTATGAGAGTGCTGTTTGATTCTGAAATTGTATATATTTATATAAATATATATATATATGTGTGTGTGTCCGCATCTGTAGCCTGTTATTGTCTCATTATACCGCACTGTGAATGAATTAAAAGTAAATATATAAGTGGTCATGAACACATCTGTCCATCAGACAGAGGGCTGCTGTGCCTCCTGTCATCATTAATGGACGTCTCTTTAAAATGACCGCTCAGAGGAGAGGAGTTCTCATTTCTCTAACCGCCTGCTGCTTCCCCTCCTCTCTCCTCGGTTCCCCTCCTCGACTCCTCGGCTCGCATCTCCTGTGGGCGGGACTAAGTATCGAGGATAGGAGTCGAGGAGGGGAGTCGAGGAGGGGAGTTAGAGAAATGAGAAAGGGCCAGTAGTGTGTCTCCTCTTTGTTGTGGCCTTTTGAGCCGGGTCATAACAGACGCAAATCTGGATCAGCTCCATTGTAGCCCCGTTTTTAGAGATTTGGGTACGGATGAAAAGAGAGAGGGTTTTATTTTCTGACGCTACAGCCTGCGTGAGTTCCCCGACATACCGGGGACACATAAAATACATCAAAAAGTGCATTTTGCATGATAGGTCCCCTTTAAGATCTATAAAGACTCAACCTACAGTATTTGCACATCACAGCGTTAATTTGATAATAGTTTGGGTTTGCTGCCATCTGCTGGTTATTATAGAAGTAACACATTAATACATAAAGGCACATTTCTCAGGCAGAGACACCATACACATTAATGATTTGATGTGTCATCATACGAACTGATGAACATATGAGCTCCTCTCCAGAAGCTTTTATTTACAACCTATAAGTAAACTGTTTGCAGCTGATTGGTCTATTATCTCAAATGGAAACGGGTAGACTGGGTGTGGGTGGGCGAGGTAGTTGTGTCTGCTGTTGCTGGCATGCTGCTGTACTATTGTTAGCATTTCCACCTTTAACAATGCTGTCCCATTGCTATTGTTAGAATTTCCACAGCCTGATGGCCTCGAGGCACGGTTGAACAGTGGAAGCATTGTTTTATAATATTCTATTGAGTTGGGTATTTCATTTGGTGGGATCTCTAACGGACATAATTGATTCTATCAATGTGCATTTTCTTCTCACAAAGGCCATTATTGCTCTCTATGCATTCCAGGTATGCAGAAAGTTAGATCTAAAACAAAGGCTCTCTTTGAAGCACTAAGACCTTCTTGTTCCAATGTGATGTCAATCTAAAAACATTTAAAACAAATTGTATCAAACCTAAAAGTGAAATCCAAATTCAAAACATAATCTAAAAAGAAAGGGATAAGCATATTTTTTGCTGTATAATTGTCAATGTATAGTATCCATTATTCAAGCTCCTTAATGTGTCCCACATAAAGAAGAAAAGAGAAAGAAAGAAGAAAATCAGATTGACAAATTACAGAGAGAGTAAAAATGTAAACCTTGTGTCCTCGCTGAGTTGTCAGGTTTAGACTTGGAGGCTCATGGGAATCTGACGCGTTGACTGAAATCCCCATGCCATGTCAAATATTGAACTTTAATTTTGTTAACGTCATATGCGGATGTGCGAGCTGAGGCTAGAGTGCAGACGAGAGACCAACAACACCAACACACAGCACTATATCAAGACAAGAAAGTGTTATACAAGACATTGTCCTTGAAATAACTAGTTAATGCCAATGTTGCTATATCTAAAAATAAACAGTGTCCAATTTAAGAATTTAAAATGTAACCAGAAGAAAAGTTCCCTCCTGCCCAGTTAGTAGTAGTATTGGTTAAAGATGAACACATTACTGCAACATCCATGGTTTTGTCTTGCTGCTGGGAAACTGTCTTACATGTCACACAACTCTCACAAAATACACTACTATGAAACATGTTTAAACTGGAGTGGCAGAGAGACAGAGAGAGAAGGAAAATATCAGGGAGAGGCGTGTAGCCTTCTGCAATTCCTCCATTGTGAATTATATTATCTTGGCTGAATGACAAATTGAGTTGTCTGCTTCAGAATGTTAATTAATGAGTCGGGCACACAGACGTATTTCAATAAAAAAAGTGTGTAAAATTAAAGTCTGCTTTAATTGTTTAGCACTGCTCCAACAGTGATTGATAGCAGCAGAGAAAGTTTGAGGTTAGTTTGCAAATCAGTGGTTTCGTTCCAACTCCCTTTTAATTGTGGGAAATGAACCTGCTTTTCATCAAGTCACAGTAATGGATCATCTCTGATAGATGCATAGTGTAAGCCTTAAGGTACAGCCCTGGTGTGGTTTGCTGACATCTGCTGGTGAAGTGTGGGTAACAGTTAAACCCTCTGTGATACTGAGCAGTTTAAACAGGCCCTATTACAGTCCTATTCAGGTTCGTATTTTACATTTTTTTACATAGCGATGTTACATAAGTACACAAAGGTGTCCAATGGAGGTGTTTCAGGCAGGGGGGGGAGAGTGTGGGAGAGAAACTCCCTCTGGAGGGAACACAGGGATTTTAGCCTTTGCAGACCATTTACCTGCACAACACACCACAGGAAAGGGAAACCCAATTAAGCATAAAAGGGCCTCTTTAAGAAGGAATATGAAGATGGGTTCTGCAGTATCTGCCTGTAATAAACACACACAATAAATCATTTTACAGGCCTCTGGCAACACATTTTTTTCTTTATTCAGAGTAAGATGTGTCAACATCCAGCATGACAAAAATTGTACAAAGTTCACAATTTATAAATGAAATATCACAGCAACTTGTGATCTCACACATTTATAGCAAAATTAAAATGTCAACAAATCCATGCTGTGTAGTACAAAAATAAATCAAACTTCAGTTCCACAGAGAGCACAATAGTTTATACAAAATCCTGTCTTTGTTAATGGTCACTGAAAACAATCCCAAAAATGAATTGGCTCAAACTAAATAATAAACTCTGATGAATTCACAATAGTTGTATATGAAAAGTCAGCTTTCTAAATATGTGACAACCTTTTTGTGTTCCCTATAGATAGTCACAGATATCTCTATTCAGATTTGTTATTTATGTACCAACATCAGATGAGCAGCCGGTTTGTGCTTTAAAATCCATTTCCCTTTTTACTGATAATGAGAATTAATTCAAAAACTGGTACTAGCTATTACTCTACTGAAGCATTACTATATTGGCAAAAAGCTGCAGACACGATGCTGTGGAAAAAGGCGTATGCAGTCATGGATGATGGGTAGTAGAGTCCTGAAAGAGGACAGTAGTACAATAGATGAGATTCAATCAGGTGAACGACAAGCACCTTTTGAATTAGCTCTCAAAAGGCAATTCTGAACATGATCGCTAACAACTAGAACAACAGAATTGAGGGGTGCACACAGCCAGGCATGTGGGCGCGTCGCTGGATTGTATCACCCCTCGAAGGTCTCGTTTTCACCGTTTCTTCAGCTTTTTTTAAAACCTTGATTTGATTGACTATTTAATCCTTTGTACAGTGATTAGATATAAAGTGCTGCTGGGGGATAACTTCATCTTCCTAAAACATAGCAAAAATGAAAGAACAATGTTTTTACATTTGATAATAGCCTACAGTATAACTGCTATGGTTATAATCATCCTCTTCTCTGATTTCAAGTCCCTGTTCTTCCTTCTCAGTGGTACTAAATCCACGCCTACAGTGGCTCCAAGCAGTTGGTTGCTCCAATCGTGTGCCAAAGAGGTCGTCTGGAAAATTGCACGCCGCCGTACGCAAGGATAATATCTTCAAGGACAAGTGCAAATAGTCTACTGGCACATAAGTGGGGACAGTGACCCTGTAAGTCCCTCTGTCATACTCTATAAATACTCTTTACAAAACCCTCTGAAACCCTCCGTTAGGCTCTCGGGTACTGCTTTTAGTTTCTGTAAGAACATCAAAACATGGAAACGAAGGTGTCCCTGTGCAAAATCGTACAGAAAAAAACTCATATACTTTCCCTTCTAAAACTCAATGTCCAGGTTTCCTCCTCTTTTTTAAAAAGATTTTCGTATTAAAAGATTTGTATAAAAATCAATATTTTACATAGGCTATATTAAAAAGATCCATGTTACCCCGCTATGCTTATAAACAAGAAATTGCATATACCCAACCTTTTAGTTTTTCCATTGTAGATTGCATCCCGTTCTTACCATAAACAAATGATTTAGTAATTATATTGCTGAGACGTTTCTTGATCCTAGCAACACAAGTCTCGAAATTGAGCAGATTTGAACTAGAAAGGCTAGAATGTGTATTCTATAAGTCATTGTCTTTACACATCATTTCTATTTGAGATTAGTTTAGGATGAGCATGTGAACATACATGTACCGCACTGATGTGTTCCTCTAGGAATTAATTGGCTCTCCTAGATAATGGGATTTCCACCATCGGGTTTCCGTGTAATGATGTTTACAATAGAACTATTCATACATACATTCATACATACATCAGGTCAGTTTCCTCTCCGGATTCATTTACAGCACCAATTAAAAATGCCCCCACCTACAGCTACGCGTCTTTTTTTTCATCAAAACAAAACACAAAACGTTTCTCAAGCATTGTCAGAAAATAAAGCGATTGGCAAACCAGTTCTTGCTCTTGAACAATTTACACACAAGAAGAAGAAAGAAGAAAGAAAACATCTAAAATCATGAAGTCCAAAATCATCCAGTGAGGAGAAACATAAGTAGCTTCCTCCTTGCTTGTGGTTTTTTTTGTTTTCATACCACTGTCCAGTTTGTTTTCATCTAAAATGCTTCGTTGTCAAGCAATAAAAAGAACTCACGTCCCGTTAGCATTAGCTTACTGTTCGGAATATACACTAAAAATGTGCATACATGAGCAGCTAGAAACATCACATGACACTGTCAGCTCATATGAAAACGTACAAAATGTGAATGTCCTCAAAAACTATTTTGCCGTTCAATTTTTTATGTTCTTCCTCAAAGCAAGGCCCAAAAAGAAGAAAAAAGAAAGAAATTATCTCGAGGTGTTTGTAGCATCGGACCTCACAATTCAGAATATATAACACTATGTAAGATACTGCACCGCACCATCAGCGCCTGTGTGTTTGTGGATTGGAACCGTCGCCCACACCTGCCGGGGGAACAAAAATCTCCCTTTGCTGATTGGTTACACTTGAATCCCTTGAACCGCTTGCTTGATGTTTTCCAACAAGGCTTTGTTCTCTGGGCTCTGGAACTGGTCTTGGTTGGTGTACATGTCCGTTAGAGTGGTGACGTAGGCGTCAAAGTTCTGCTCGCTGATTGGCTCCTGCAGGACCAAAGACACAACACAGAGGCTATTAGAGGAAAACGGAGGATTTATGATGTCCGAAAATCTTCTTGTACAATGTGTTCTGAAAAAAAATCCAAACTCAATATTGATCAAATTTCACAAATACTGTCGACATCCTAACGTTCCTTTTTTAATGACATAATCTGAGTTATTGACTTACTTGCTGGTGCAACTGTAAGCAGCTGTTGTTCCTCAGAGGAGGCTCTTTGTGTGCCAGTGGTTTCTATGGAAGGAGAGGAGGGACAGCCTTCTATTAGTTTGATTTGAGGAAAGAAGTTGTTATTCTTATGTTTAAACACTAGGCGACAGTATGTGATGCACAGCCACATAGAGAAGAGCTACAATAAGTGGGAAAATAGAAGCAGGCTATAGATGAATACATATAGGAAGACAAACATAAATCTGGTGTGAGGATGGCATGGTCACATTCTAACTGATTAGATACATTTTACTCCAGCATGATGGACTTATCTGAGCAGCTGCTGAAATATAAAATAATATGATTATAAAAACACTTCGACAAGAATCTTACTGTTAACTAAAACACTATGCTAGAGTATATTTGAAAAGAGTGGCAGAGTAAAGGAGGGAAGAAAGGATGAAATCGTGTGTGATTACTTTGAAAGCAGAATGTCATACTTTTTGCTTTATCTTCAAAAGCCAAAGTAAAGATGGAATGATAGCCAATAGAAGATGTCTGAAGCACATTGAAAAAAAAAAACAAGCAATTCAAACACTTTGCTATACACTTTCAAATAGAGCTTTTGAATCATCATAGCATTGTTAAAAACAGACAAAACCTCAATAAAAACTACTGTATATACACTTCTCATCTAAAATGTGCTATGCAGAATAAATATGTTTTTTCAAGTCCAATCTACAACTCCCCCTCACTGTTTGGAAAGACCTTTAAATCTAAGCATGCAATATCAGCTGCAGTTAAATACACAGATAAAATAATAATCTAATGCTACGTTAGCTATGTTCTGCAACTTGCCGGCTTGCCGTTTCCTGGAGGCCCTTACCATATGAGGGAGCTGGACATTAGCTAAACTGTTTATCAGTGACTGGCTGAGGTTGGCCATCTCATGCAGGAGAGATTCATTTTGATGTTCAATCACCTTGTTTTCCTCCTCTATGGACTTCATGTTGGACTCCATTGTTGTGATCTGCGGAGAGGACGGTGGATGTTACAGATGTACGCCATACAGAGACTTAAGGCCTGTGAGAGTGGTGGAGCAGAGGGGACTTACCTGTGTCCGAAGTTTGATCATGTCGGCCTCCACCTGTGAATTGGATTCACTTAAATCTTTGATTTCTTCATCCAGCTGTTTGATATCCTCCTCATGCTCCAGTCCTACAGAGGAGAGCAGCATTAACACTGACACAGAGCTGAAAGGCCTCAGACATCAATTATTTTAACAGCCTTTATGTGGAGTTAAGTGATTTAAAATGACAAATTACGACTCTGAAGTGACGAAGAACTTTGCTCGAATTGTGTTTGTGTGACTGTCTTCACCTCTACTTAAAAACTGCGGCAGGCCATTTGAACTGACTAAGAAGAATCGCACAGACATATTACATTATGATCCTGTCACATCATCTCTTTATGAAGCCTCAAATATCACTGCAGTCTAGTGTGAAGTGTTAGAGAAACATAGGGAGAACACACACACCGGCTAGTACGGATATTCCCTGTCTGATTAGTAACTTAGCGCAGCGCTGTTCTTCACATAGGAGCCACTATTCTCATTATTTATACCCCATAATTGAATGGCAGTTTATTTCCAATGTAAGCCTTTACCTAGACAATGCTCGCCACACACACCCTCCTGATTGGTTATTATGTGAAACTGGAACTCTGTTCAGAAAATCACTCCACATCCATGTCCCTGATTGGCTGTATTGTGTGGGTGAGTGGTCATTGTAGTTACCGTTGCTGGCGTGTTGCTTTATTGTCAGCATCTCCACTCCAGAGAGCCGAGCTTTCCTCATGGCGGAGGTGGCACGTGGACAACCTGACAGACTGGAGGAAAGGGAGCATTGTTTTAGCATGTCACACACACACACACACACACACACACACACACACACACACACACACACACACACACACACACACACACACACACACACCACACACACACACACACACACACACACACACACACACACACACACACACACACACACACACACACACACACACACACACACACACACACACACACACACACACCACACACACACAGCTCATATTAATGACAGTCTTAACAATTTTTGCCCGCAACTGAAGTGTACAATTCCCTTTTGTGTTCAGTCTTTCCTAAGAAAATGTTTTCCTAGTTTTTTGGGCAAATGGGAATATATCTTTTTTTATATTCTAGGAAAAAACATAGTCGATTGTGCCCAAAGACTACATTTAGTAAAATTAATAAATGGCTGTATCTCAGATCACAATCAAGTATTGTACAAGCAATGTGAACAAATCACATGTCGCACACTGAATATTAGTTATAATGACTGTGACCAATTATACAAGTATGATTGGTGGTACGGTTACATACTTTCCCAAAGTAAGCTACAACTATAGCTGAGGATCTTGGGTAATCAGTTCAGTGGGTGTGTATCGCAATGATGTTCGAAATGTCCCTTATAGGCCTACGTCTGTTTCCGGTGACTTCATTTTGAAATTCAGTTCCTGACGGACGGCCAAAAAGCCTGAGATTATAGAATTAAACCAATAAATAAAAGCAAGGATAATTGTGTGTTATTTGTGACTGAGTAAATAACAGTGTGTTATTTAGAAAAGAATAACAAATTAAAAGGAAAAAAAGATTTAAAAAATACAGATTTCAGTATTCTGAGGCTCTGAGCCCCATTTATTTTCCTCACGGACGGCAAACAAAGTCCGACATTATACGATTTAAAATAAAAACAATAATCGTGGCTTGATATTGAGTAAGAAAATGTTTTTATGAACCACAAAGCTTCTGGTTTTCCAAGACCCGACCGGACAAAAAGACGTGCTGCAGGCACGAAACATACTACCAATAGAAATACATTGCTTTTAAAATCGTTCTGTGTGACACGAAAAAAAAGGGGAAAATGGTGTTGGTGAACACGAATCAATAGATTAAATGTTGTGACTATCACAGGAAATGCCGTGAGACTGGGTTGGTTTATATGTAGCTTAGCAAAAAGACTGGAAGCAGTTGGAAACAGCTAGCATGGCTAACCCCTGGATTCCACCAGGTCCGTCTGCGCCATGTTACGGCTGCGCCGTGGCTTTCACGGCCACTCTAGTCAATGAGTGTTATTCCACCAGACGCGCCGTGTTACGGCCCGTCCACACGGCAGCGTCGCGTGCTTCAACTTCCCATTCACTTTTAATGGGGTGAAGTCACGCTTTGCCGAACTGTATTGTGGTTCCGTAGCCTCGCTTTGCCTCCTTTGCTCGCTTCGAAAGTTGAGAAAAGTTCAACCTTTCAAGCGTCGACGGAAGCGCCAGCCAATCAAATCATATGCCAGTACAAGCTCGAGCCAATCAAACCGCGTGCTTGTATGTCCGGGGTGGGAGATTAATCTGATTGGTTGTTGGGTGCACGCCAGACACGCCCACCGGCAAGCTTCAATGCGACGCTGCCGTGTGGACGTACAGTTACGGCCCGTACAGTTACGGCCCGTACAGTTACGGCCCGTCCACACAGCGGCGTGCGTTGAAGCTTGCCGGCGGGCGTGTCTGAAACTCGACCAACAACCAATCACATGAATCTCCCGCCCCTGACACACAAGCAGCGGTTTGATTGGCTAGAGCTTGAGGCTTCAGAAGTTGAACATTGCTCAACTTTTGCAGTGAGCCACGCCAGCAAAGCTCCGCTTCCCACAATGCAGTTCGGCGAAAAGTGACGTCACCCCCTTCAAAGTGAATGGTGAAGCTTTCAACGCACGCCGCTGTGTGGACGGGCCGTTACGGCTCAGAAGCGTCCCAGAAGCGTCTCGGCGCTGGGCTCCGATAAAAATACGCGGCTGGTCTATTTTCGACGCGGCAGGAAGTGGAACGGTCAATCCTAAAATAAACTAATTTTGCAGACCCTATCCCTCCATAGTCTTTCAAGTAGGAGGAGAAATGCCAGCGTTCTCCTCCGGTTTACAGGCACTGTGTAAATTATATATAGAATAATTATGATGATGAATGCATTTTTTTACCACTAAAATACAGCAACACATCTTTGATTCATGTCATTTATAACTGGACTATTACAATTATTATTAACTTTGTCTGTACAAAGTAGCCTGTCCAGGAAATATGCCCAAATCAACAAAAACTGCGAGCCGGCACGCAAGACGCTCCTCTTCTGAAACGCGCCCGGTGGGGTTTGACGCTGTAGGAGGTCGGAACAAAACCTCGGTGCAGATGTAACACGGCGCAGGCGGACCCGGTGGAATCCAGGGGTAAGTCTAAAAAAAAGGTAACAACATTTGCCAACAAGCACTTCTAAAGCTCATTAATTAACGTGATATCTCATTTGTTTAATCCACACAAAACCCAAAATCTACTACTACTACTACTACTACTACTATTACTGCCTCAGTCCCCAGACCCACCTCCGGTGTGTGAGGAAGCTGCCGCTGACGTGTCCCGAGCCGTCGCAGCCCGGCGTGGGGCAGGACATGCCCTCCGTCTTGCCGGACTTCCACGTGAACTGGATGCCGTTCATGTAGCCGTCCTTTTGTCTCTTCGCTGCTATGGGACATCCTGAAGCGCTTCTGTGGGACGCATACTTCCCCGTCACGTGTCCCTGACCATCACATCCTGGAACAGGACACCTGGGGGGACAGAGGGAAATGTTTTATTCACTTTCAATGTTTTAGACACTTACGTATTCAAAGTTCATACCGTTATCTCTTATCATATTGGAGACATCCTCTCACAGAATGACCTGCTGAGGCGCTCTGGTAAACACTACATTGTGTTTTCCTCCTGAGTACTAAAACACCACAGAGTGTTTGAGTGAATATCATTTTTCTGTTCCCCTCCATCTCTACTGCTTTGATATAAACAAAGATACCATCATCTTATTTTAAAGCAGTCCCAGTGGCAGCCTTATCACAGTCTTGGAATGCTGACAGTGCATCAAAACCAGTGCTAATCAGATCCAATGAGGCAGTAAATTATTCCAAATGTCACAACTGGCAAAATGGATTATAGGTGAAGCTAGTGGTGCAAGTATCAGTTCAGTCTACAAACAGCAGCTACCTGCTTTTAGTACAGCTTTAGGAAAGGACATGAAGATACAGCGGTATCACGTACACTGCTGTCTGCCAGCGTCTCTTTCTGTGTCATTGAAGATCATTCCCTTGGTAAGTCACAGGTATCTTCTTAAAGAGGCCCTATTATGCTGCTTTTTGGGGTTTTCCCTTTCCTGTTGTGTAATATTTATGTGTTTTGCGAATGTAATGGTCTGCAGAGGCTAACATCTCAAAAGAAGAAGAGGCACAACATACTTTAAACGTAAACAATTAGAAAAATAGGGCCCCTTTAATGAATCCATCCGCAAAGCTCTAAAAACTTGAACCCAGGAAAAACCCACACTGGTAGGACTCAATTAAATGATGACCAATTCCACACTGCACATCCAGGTAGGGCTGTGTTCAATCATATTCAAGGATTCAATATTATATTTGTTTGTCTTTCAATGGAATACGTTGGTAATAAAATCAGACATCTTCATATTGCGATACACAATTATGTCTTTTAAATGTATGATTACATCTAAATACTAACTAAAGTTATTTAGAAAATCTGATGTGAAATATTTTGAGGGAATATATCTTTAAGAAGGTGGTTTTACTTCTACATCAATATTACATTACTCCTCAGTTCAATTAGATTAACACTGTATATGGAAAATAAAGATATGGGCCATAGGTGATGTGTTTAATTATTAATCGTTTGATTAATTCCAAGAAAAATCTGGTAATTGGTTGACTTTCAACCTCACATTTAAATGTCTTTGCAAACTATTTGTCCATTACTATTTGGACAAACTCTTAATCCGCTACAAATCTTGTATTATTATTATGGTCAATGTGAAAGAAATACTGCTCCAGAAATGTCTTTACATTCTTGCTAGCCTCTCTTTCGAGGGGAACGTTGGAGACCAGTTTAAGCCAGAACTCTTCCAGCTGCCTGACACAGATATCAGCCCAGAACACCTCATCCTGACCCGAGAGCCAAACTGGTGCAACCTGCTGTCAGACAGATCCAGAGCTAACATCCAGCTGCTTGTGAATGGAGACACATGTGAGCTGTGTCAGTTCAGAGGAGCCAAACTGACCGCCATCCAGGAATCCATAATGTCCAGCAGGGAGAGCCTGCTGTGTGTCATCACCACTGTGGCAGCACAATAGGTTAGGGACAACAGCTATAGCGGGGTGGGGAGGCCGGGGTGAACTTAAATCGGCAAGACCCCTCCCTGCTGTATACATCTTTTATTTTGACTCTTCTTTTGACTTAGGAAAAAACTACAAAACCCTTTTGAAAAAAATACAAACTCCTCCCACTCTATTTATTTAAAAAAAAAATGTTTTCATCATACTGAATATAGCTTTGGGTTTTGCACTTTTTTGATTGATAGAATAAGACATTCTGAGACCTTGTAGACATTTGGGCTTTAGGGAAATTATAATAGGCATTTTCCAATATTTTCAGAATTTTTTTATATATATAATATGTACCTTTTCCGCATTTAAAATGTCAAAAAACTACTAGACTAATGATATATATTGTGTTGATTTTGTGGCTAAATTATCCCAAATGTTTTCACAATAAACTAAAGAGAAAGAGAGAAAATGACCATGTTATCATTCCTTGTCTACAGTAAATAGGGAAAATATTTGTACTCCCTTATCGCTCCATACTGCAAAAGAAAATAAACACTTTTCATTTAGAATACGGTTTGTTTAGTGTGCTTCAGTCTATGGATTTTATAGATTCCATATATCCATGTCTTCGTCTGAAGCCAGGAGAAATCTTCTCATGTTTCAAAAGCTCAAATAGTAATTCAAAATGTTTTTAAAAGATATTTCAATGTCAGTGGAGCTTAGTGACGGGTTACCTGTGTCAAACTGTGCTCAGAACGCGGCAGATTGACCAGGGTTAGAGCTGAGAAGGGCCAAAGTGTGTTATTTGTGCTCTGCACCATCGGAGAAATCAATGCAGCTGCAGGGCCGAGGCCAAAGAAGCCCGTAGTGGGATTTAGGTTCAGGAGTGGAATCAATCTCTCTCTGCCTCCTCTCACCTGTGTGTCTGAGGGGTTCACCAGAGACTTTACACAACTATAGCACATTTGTCTTGTCAGAGCCACTACTGATTTATGCCTGCTTGCATCAGTGCACACCAAAGAGCATTGCAGTGATTAGAAAACAGCACAATGCCTTTTTGTTGATCCCATTCACACAGCTTCCTTCCATCACTCAATAACAGGAAAAGAAAAGTCATGTATCATGTTTGATATTTCACATAGGAAATGTAAAGTAAGCAGTTGGTAGCAGGAGGAAGAGTTTGGGGGTTTTAAAGGGAGACAGAAGACAGACGATCTGTGTCTGCACTGTACCTGATAGGCTCCTGGTCCTCCTTGTTCTCTTTACTGTGGATGATCTTTATCCCGCTTTTCCTTGCCCTAGGACACCCTGAGAGACTGCAGATAAATGACAGTGTTACAAAGCTGAAGCATACAGTGCGTCTGTGTGAGAAAGTAGAGGCAGGGTGAAGTAAGTCTGCTTCAAGTCAATTCAGAATGTATGGGAGGCAGAAAAGGGAGATGTGTTGAAATAATGGAGGGATTAGTGGATGCGTGTATGTGGAGCGTGTGCTGTACCTTCTGTGTGAGGCGTAGTTGCCAGTGATATGTCCCGAACCATCGCACCCTGGTGTCGGGCACCTGGGGCAGAAAACACAACAAGGGCTCAGGGTCTACAGCAAAAGGTGCAGGATCTTGAGGACGATATAATCCATGTTGTGTCTAATTTATAGCTTTTGCTGTAATGTTATGCCCATTGTTGATTAAACGTGACATGGATGCCAAGATTTCCTTCATTGCTTTTGTGAACGTATCTTTTGTTTCACGATGTTGGACTTAAATCAGCCTTTGAAAATATACGGCAGAAGGGTTGGAGGGTAGGTAATTAATTAATTTGGCTTTATTCATATATGTTTATACTCACACAACCATGACAGGCGATTTATGAATGCTATACCATGTCACATTTTTTGTACTCCTGACCATTTACTAATTTTACACTATATTATCTTACGGTGACTTACAGTATAATAAATACCCATTTTTCAAAGCCCTCCAAAAATTGAACTGACATTTTTTTTAACTTAATCCCACATACACCATGCTGATTATCCTCATAGCACGCCACATGTAGATTCATCCGCGGGTGAACATAGTCCCCAACAAATGCATTTCCTTTTGTTTAGGACATTCTTTAGTATTCTTTTTTATTCATAAATGAAACTATATATTTATGACTTGTTTTAGAGATGTATGTCCTGAAATCAGAATAGACTAACACACCATTTTGACCCTTTTTTGTACAATTTGTGATGTTTAGAAAAATGTGTGTGTGTGAGTTTGTGTGTTTTGGTTACTCATTACATTGCTGGTATGTTTTTTTAAGTGTGTGTTGACAATTACAAATAATATAAAATATCACCCTTCTTAAAAAGGTTCCTTAATTATCCTTAATTCCATAAAAAGCTGTGAAATAAATCCCCATGCCTCCATTTCTGAGCAGTCTCTTGTTTCCATTCATACTGTGCTTTACGTTCCCCCATCCTACCGTTAGGTGCACTAACACTAATAAGGCGGAGCTTGGCACAATGAGCGAGACATACACATCACACATATATCAGTGAGTCATCTCAAGCCTTACTTGAGCTCTTGCGCGTTGTTGGCCAGCATACTTCGAATGCTTTTATCAGCTAAAGGACAACCTGAGAGACTGAGAAATACACCAGGGGAACATTAGTTACTCCGGAATGACACGTCAACGTTTAACACTAAATCACCTCACACAGATGTATACAAACACATGCAAACGTAAAATCAGATAATGCAGAAAAAGAAAAGCCATGATGCAAGTGCAGGGAGTTGAATTCAATGAGTTAAGCCTCTGAGTATTTGTGTCCGTAGGTAACAACAAGGACGTCTCGACATCGATTATAACTTCATATTGAGCTTGTTCAGGAGAATATGATGTATTAAGAGCCACAGCAGCCTCGAGACTGATATCATTCCGTCGCTGCAGACTCACCTCGCTCTGCACCACTCAACAATTCTGTTTGAGTCTCCTTACTTTGAATAGTAAATGCTTAGTCTGCATTGCACTGTGGGAAGGGCCTGGAGGACTGAATAACATCAGCTTAGAAGGCTTTACTCCCGGCCCATTGAGAAATCATTTTATCCCAGGCTTTAGCTTGAAAATGAGCATGTATCCAATCTGTAATTAATTTAGTCTTCACTTCTTTCATGACACCCTTGTTTCAGGATATTCAAAGGGCTAACAAATAAGATAGAAAGAGAGAGAGAGAGATTGTGCCTACAGGTGTCTGACAGCATAGTCGAGGTAAGCTGAAAACAATAAAGAGAAGTAGACTCAGGAACTCACACCTTCGATGTGTGGTGAAATTACTTGTCAGGTGACCACTTCCATTACACCCCGGTCTGGGACATCTGCCGTCAGAAAGATAGACAGACTTAAAAGCCCAAAGGGAAGGAGAAGAAATTCCTGATTTAATTGTGTCATTGTTTCCAGTTTAGCTTCACTGTCTGTGATCAATATTGAGGTTCCTGAGAGCAACAACTTGATATGGCCATGAAACAAGTGATGTTTCTTATAAAAATAAAGCTTTTAAAAGGGGGAAACTACAATTACAGCACCAGTAGATGCTATAACATGTCTGAGATCAGTGTGGACAGATAAAGCTGTTAAATAAAGGCCTATTGCCAGCCTGCAGCTCAGGTTGGCATAGGGCAGTGGTTCTCTGCGGCTAATGGGAACAAAGATGAGGGCAGAAAGCAAAGAAAGGAATAATATGAGGGGGGTAAGCAGAGCATGAGTGGGGTCAGGTGGAGAGGAGGAACAGTGGGATGAGTGGGAGGGGGCTCTTACGTTATCAGGTCCTTCTTATTCTCCTTGCACTGGGCGTACTTAGGCTTGGGGCTGGGCATGTTAACATCTGTGGTGAAGGAGCGGTCCTCCAGCAGGTCATGAAAGGGGTCCAGGTCATCTGACTGATTGTGGGTGGGATCAGAGGGAAGAGAGGAAGAAAAGACAAAAGGGAAGGAGGGAAACAGAGAGATGTAAAGGGATTGTTTTTCAATCATATCACATATATCCAACAATACAGTAAGTTATAATCACTTAAAATGTGTTTTATAACTAGCACATGATGACACTTATTTCCTGAGTTTATAATAATCAGCCTTTTTCCTTCACATTCCTTATCCCTTTGTCTGCTCATTCCGCACACACACACACACACACACACACACACGCAAACACACACACACACACACACACACACACACACACACACACACACACACACACACACACGCAAACACACACGCAAACACACACACACACACACACACACACACACACACACACACACACACACACACACACACACACACACACACACACACACACACACACACACACACACACACACACACACACACACTCCCACCTGTCATACCATGGAGTCTTGTCAATTGGAATGCTAATGGTAGAGCCTGTGTGACTATTGAGCCTCACCTGTCAGTCTACCAGAGCTGGAAAAATAGATTCCCTGGGAGGAAATAATGACTCAGTGCCAAATGAGCATGAGTGTGTGTGCGTGTGAGAACAGAGCACTGAGGGAGGTGTCTGGTGGAGATCCTGTAATGCTCTGGTGGGTCAGTAGATGGCACTGCGGTGCAGCGTCAGCCCGCAGCTGGCTGTGTTATGTGGGGCCGTGCTTTGTCTGCAGTGCATGCGAGCCGGGGCACGACGGCTTTTGATGCAAATCCTCTCTTTCCTTCCCTTCCGTGCTCGCAGTGTATGTACAGTAATGCCCATAAAGAGACAGGTCCAGATAGGGCCCAAATTATCCAGCGCTCAAGCTGTCTCAGAGTCTGTGATGCTGGGTCAGCCAGCGAGCGGCTCTAATTAAAGGGAGAGGCAGACAGGAAGGAGGACGACACACACATGCATGCACAGAGATGCAGAAACTAGGCTAGGGATGGGACTCGCACACACATGCCAACACACTCCCAACGAGACATGGGTACAAACACGGGCTCGTATGAATATTCACATCCCACACACTCCTACAGAAGCACATGTGTGTGCCTGTACACACCGACAGACGCACCCAGCAGTGGTGCATTGATTTCCAGCAGTTCTTTGATGAGATGAGCTATTCCGATTCCCTCCCAAGGTGCTACTTTGCATAATTTATTTTGGAGAAGAGCGAGATGTAAAAACAGAAAGCCAGCATGCGGGGAGCATGATACACACAGAGCAGATACCTCCACGCTGCTGACAATTAACATGCAGATTCATTAGGTTCCCCTAAAAAAAACCCTGATATGACTTTCTAATGATGCCAAGCAGTGAGTAAGACGGGGAGGTAAGAGACCTAGAAGACAATCAGACAGCAAATGTTTGACTCGGAGACACTGTGTTGTGTCAATGGCTCAGAGGGAAATCATTTGGTTTGGAGACATGGAACAGACAGTATAGGTAACACATGCCAACTGTACTGTCTATCAGATTTAAAACCACAAACTATCATATTCTACTGCTTTATAATTATTCCCAGCATCACACTATTAGTCATCTCTATTTATTATTCTACTCTTCATCATTTAAAGGAAATTGAATATGTGATGGAACATTCTGAGGAGAGAGGAGCTTGTGTATAACTGATCAGACATTTCATATTTGTATGAATAGGATTGAGTAGGAAATATGCTGTGCTTCAAATAAGAACATGTTATTGATATTTTTAAGGTGACTCAACCTTGAAAGGCAGATACTGACTGGCACGAATATTTCCCCCTTTCTGAAAAATTGACAGTAACATACATTTCCAACATTTGTCCTTATTCGTTCTCTTACTTCTTTCTCGTCCTCGTCTATGTGTTTGATCTTGGTGTAGTCTACAGGCAGGTCCCAGCAGTCGGCGGCGTCCCCCATGCCGTAGCAGCGGGAGCCCAGCAGGGCAGCTTGCCTCTGGGGTGACATGGGCTCCAGAGGGGTGAGCACCGAGTCCCCTCCGCCGCTGCACAGACGCTTGCTCATACTTAGGTCCAACGTACCGTTCTCATCAACATCCAGGCCCGGACTCTGGAAATCGGATGTGGTTTTTGGGGCGGGTTGAGTTGTGGGTTTTCAGTGAGATGGTTATGAGAAAGGGTAAGAGGATGCAGAGGGAGGCAGGGATGGAGAGAAGCGGGTAGAAGAGAGAGAGAGAGAGCGTTTCTGATTACATAGAAGTCAAACATATTCATATTCTAGGATCAGAGCTGGGCAGAACAGTAGCTGAAAAAGTGGTGAATACTTAAAAAGTACATGAAGGTGCTTGAATATTCTGTTCCTCCAGTGATCTGTTCCCTTGTGTAGTTTTTAGACGTCTTAAAAGAGGGATCAATAGCACCTGCAGTTCAAATACTTGTAACAATATTCCAATTCGTCTTTTTGTCTGCAGTGGATGAGATTAGACACTTGCGCTGTACAGTTGTGTGTCTCTCATAAAAAGGGTCAAAAGTAGAAGGTCATCAGTGCTCAAGGACGAGTGCATCCCTCCTTTTTCTTTCTCTCTCTTTCCTTCCATGGTCTCTTCTGTGTTCTGTGGCGTCAGACGGGTGTATGTGTGTGTGTGTGTGTGTGTGTGTGTGTGTGTGTGTGTGTGTGTGTGAGTGTGTGAGTGTGTGTGTCTGTGTGTGACTTTGTGTTGTGTGAGGCTAATGTGAGTGGACATCACAGGGGGGCAGGGCTGAGGGTTAGGGGTGGGGTTGAGAGCAGTGATGAGCAGCAGTGGCTGGAACTAGAACTGCTGCAATCCCAAACATAGAGGCTGTGTTCTGGGACAAAGTGGGCCACATCCAACACGGATCACTACAGAGTGTGGGTTTGTATCTATAGATCCTTGCACACTTGCCTTTTCTTTCTTCTACATATGGCACGTATCCCGTAAGGCTTGTGTTTTGGTTGGCGTGTGTGTGTCCTCTAACTTCCTTTTTCTCATCTTCCCTCTCCTTCTTGTTCTCCTTGCTCCCTTTGCAGAGTAGGACAGCCGCTCTAATGCTGATTTCAGCCGACAGTGTCCCTCGGGGGGGATTCTCCTGGTGTCTTAAGCCAAAACCTCTGTGACACACATTGACTCAAACACATAGGGGGGTGAGAGAGTTTGGACTGGGCATGAAAACTGCACGAGCTGTGGCTGAACCAAGGACTACAAAATAGAAGTAAAAAAGGGCCGAAAACCAATGTTACTGCTGGGTCACTATGTTACTATGAAAAGAGTCCTATTAAAGCGTTTGGAAAAAAATGGAAGACAAACAGAGAAATGATGGGGTTCCAAATCAAAGACTCTTGATTATATTTCCATGTATTACTATATTTCTTTGGTCTAAAATGATAGAAAATTGTGAAAAATGTCCATCCCAGCCAAGGTGATGTCTATAAATGTCTCGTTTGTCAGTCTATTATCCCAAATATATTGACTATAAAATGATATAAAACAGAGGAAAGCCGGAAAAATGTATACTATCATATTCATACCATTTGTACCTGTGTACTCTCATGTTCCAAATAACCCCAAATAACTCAGCTTCCCCGAAATGTCATTTTGGTGTCTGTTTACGCCGGGACCAAAATGTAAAATGTTTGATATTGGGCTATATAAATAAACTTTGATCGATTGATGATTGATTTATACATTAAAAACTACTAACAATGAATTGATCATTATCTAGTAAGCTATTACTTTCTGTTGTTGATTCTTTGATCAGTCATTGCAGCTTTCATTTACACTAGCACCTTTCTGCAAAACTGTGTCCTGAAAGGATTTCATGATTATGAGGTAGATTTGTCTCAATATTATATGTGTGAGTAGTGTAATATGTAAATGTGAAAGCACATTCCACAAATAAAACGTGTGAATACTATTATACATTTACAAATAAACAAACATCTTTTGTTAATCCAGTTTGTATTTGCGGATCTCAATTCTCTGTTTGTGTTCGGCTTTTACACACCCTGACTTTGGGACAAACGGACTGAACGAAAATCTACTAATGTCACTCGGCCACTTTCAAAAAATGACGTGGTTGCTGCTTCTCCAAGTAAGAGCATGCAGTCTGGTTACGCCATGGCGACAGTAACTATACCATACATGATGTAGTTGTCTGCTTCTGTCTTACACACACTCGATATTACAGCTCCAGTAAAAGTGAAATTGCAGATTTGGCTAGGAGCTGAGAAAAGAGCAAGAAGGAGGCAGAAGATGAGTATGAAATGAGTAAAGAAAGTAAGAACAATGAAGACAGTCTTTGTAAAACAAAAGGTCAAGTTGCGTAGGAACAAATCCAAGGTCAAATGCCCCATCGTGTGTTGCCACCACTCATCGTGTCCTGGTGAATATGCTCAGCTGATGGCTCTCTCTGTCAGCCGTTGTATTGTATGTCATCGTCCAATTAACATGACCCACCCCTTCATATCGAATTAACGAGGACGATATGTGAGAATGCAGCCCAGTTCTTCATTAGAGATCACCCGTCCTCGCTCTAACCCTCCCGTAACCCCTGACCCCTGTTGCCATGGAGATGCTGGGAGGAAGAGGGCCAGAGCGTGAGAGGTCACTTTCGCTTTCTCGCCGCATTACTTCTGCCCACCTATTCCACGTCTTAAAATAAAACCAGGATCACGACATGTGTTCCTCTCTGTCCTTTTCTCTCTCTCTGTCCTTCCTCCTCTACAAGGATTCTTCAGGAGGACGGCTTCATTTCCTAAAAGATGTGTGTGTTACACCAGTGTACCTTTGTGTACCGCTAGGAACGGTGAAAGCAAGTGTTGTTAAATCTGTCATCTATGTGTTCTGTTGTGAAGCTGACACATTTGAAGTCAAATCAACAACAACTTGACGAATAATGATGCTTATTTTGTGGAAGAGGATTAGAGGAAAAAAGTTTCTTTTATTTTTCTCTGTTTTTAGACAAATATATGTTTTTTTGTCAAAGAAAAAGGTCAGAATTCTGAGATTGAAGTGAGGAATTTGAGATTTCTTGAAACAAAAATGTGAATAATTTTTTGAAAAGAATTCTGGCTTTATTCTCAAAATTAAAAAAATGTTTTCACTTCTGGTCCGATCTCCAAAAAAGGTTTCACATGTGGCCCAAATCCTCTTCCGTACTATCAAGCAATTCTTGGCTCTCTGGAGTACCACATGTATCTGCTGGAATCTACACTATAGTATGCTTGAAATGTGATTGTTGTATTAATGTTAAGTGTAGTATTCATGATTTGTAGTAAATGGACTATGAAAAAACGCAGGTACAATCCTTTAAAATAATATTTCGCTAACTTTGAATGGAGCTGCTGGACTGCACAGACCACTGGTTCCAAACCTGAGGGTTGATCCCCGCTATGAGGTCACAAGATAAGTTCAAGGGGTCATTTAAAGATAACTGGCAATAAGGGAAATATTGTTCTGCAACTCAAATTTAGATTTTCTTCTGGATTTTTCTATAGTCTTTTTCTTGCTTTATTACATTCTAGTGAGTTTTTCATCTCCAGACCTTGATCAGTTATTATCTGATGTTTAACGGAGGAAATTCGATTTTGGTTGAATAAATGTAACAAGCAGCAGATTGAGACGACGGGAAACAGACCGATAGACAGGCTGAAAATATAAGGAGGCGAGAATAGAAGAGTGTGTGAAGTTTCATTCAAACATAGAGAGGAACAGTGTGTGCCACGAGGTGAGGTGTGGAGATGAAAGAGGGAGAAGAAAAAGAAGAAACTCTCTGAAGTCTCCCATCTTCCCATCCTGCCCCGAGAGCTTCCTGCCTGTCTGCCCGGAGCAGGGGAAGGACAGACAATGGGATGAGTTTAGGACCGGAGGAAGTCCTCGGGCGTTTGTTCCCGCCAAGTGTATTCCGTTCCACTTTTCTTTGGGGGAACGTTGCTTTTGGCTTTTATCCTTTCTTCTCCCCTCTTTTTCCTCCTCTCCTGTATCCTCCTCTCCTCCCTTTCTGCACTGTGACATTAAGAAGCATCCCACCAAAAAGGCTTTCTTTGCTCTCATTCAATCCAACCACCTTCCCTTATTCTCCAGCAGTCAACATTAGCAATGAGCCAGCATTAGCCTTCTGCTGTGCTCTCTCTTCCTGGTCTGTAGCTTAGCATCTGGGTGCAGATAATACAGAAACAGCGCCACCTTATCTCCTCAGAAATGACACACTGGGCTCACGCCGTGTCAAGCGGCGCCTGGTCCCGCTCCTATCTGATCCCGCTCCTATCTGATCCCGTGACGGAAAATGAAAAACTGCCCTGCTGAGCCCTGAGTGTGAGACACAGCACAACAGATCTTTAAGGGAGTGTGTGTATGTGTGTGTGCGTGTGTGGTGCGCAGCTCAACTCCTCCTATCTCTGTCAGTTCTCACTGCCAGTATTAGTATAATGAAAGAAGCACAGAGATAATCTGTCAGTGGATTGTATTGTGACTGCAGCGAAGGGCAGAGGTGAAGTGAATATAGAGTCATGTAAAAACAAGGGTTTCACTTTTTTCCCTATTGAAAAAAAGAGTTTCAACTGAACTGAACTAAAACCCAGCAGCATACACCTGTTGATGACACTTCAGGGCCTGTGTCTCCACATTGTAGTTACTCTTTCTGAGCCATGCACACAGTGTATTATTTGATGGCGCACCGCAGCCAGCGTTTCGAGACTCAAATATTTCAACTTTTCAGAAAATTGCTGACCTAAAAGCCAATTTGTTAGCAGATGGCTGGACGGACACTGGATGTTGCTGCTGTCGGTGAGTGTTGTACTTTTATCCCGGTACAAGGCTTGTCTTCATGCTCTACGGCTGTCAGTTTGAGTGGTGAAGCTTAGTTAAATATAAAATCCATTAAAAAAGTGATGGGAGCATTTTTTGTTTTGAAAGGTTGGGAAGAGGCTCTGCCAAGGGCCCTAAAAGACGCTATGTGGACACAGGACAGGGCCTTCGTTTTCCTTCGTTGGCACTTGGCCAACAGAATGTACTATATGACTGTCCCTAGCCCCTCCTACCTGCGAGCAGAGGTCCTGAAGCTTCCCCCCCAGGCCGTGGGGCATCTCTCGGCACCGCGTGGACAGGTTGAGGATGGCGGTGGCGGCCATGTGGGCGGCCTCCATGTCGTGACTGAAGTCGAAGCTGCTCTTGCTGCAGGTGCTGCTGGCGCTGCTGCCCCCACCCCCTCGGCCTCCTCCCGCGCCCCCCACCCCACAGCTCAGGCTGCTGCTGCTGCTGCTGGGGGCGTAGGTGCTGGTGGTGCTGCTGGCCGAGCTGGACGTCTTGCAGTAACGCTTGGCTGAGGGTCGCATTCAAGACATTCAAAATGAAAAGAGGGCTGATGCATTTAGATTAATACTGAAAATCATGATATGGATTTACGTGACTTGAAATGCAGGTGCACTCATACTTTTTCCCATTCATAAAAGTAAGTTAATTGACTTTATACGGTCATCCAAAAGTATATCCATGACAAAGTTAGCTTTTACATTTGTTTATCTTTGGCCCTTGCAAACATCAAATTGTATTAATTCTAAAATATGTCTTGGAATAGTTTAAGAAGATGATTACAATCTCTGCCCTAAATTGAGAGTTTATAGATGCATATAACGTAGCCTTGAAAAATAAATCTGTTAGATCTAGTAATTACATTGCATGGAAAAGGATTAGAGGGGCACTCCTTTTTTGCATTCTGCCTGAATGCCTGAGAAAGTGAAAAAAATCCTTTTTGATCAGCTCTCAAATAATTGTGACCATATTTCTCTTCCGTAAAATCGACACTGTTATCTAAAACAAAAATATATACCACATCAGAACATTTGAACTATTCTTGTGAGCCTGTAATGTTTATGGCTTGTGGTGTTTTCATAATCTGGTGAGCACACTTATGAGTTGACCCAATCCTGAATAACTCAAACTTTAAAATCCACCAATGGAGAAATGAAGAAGGTGACACGGGAATGTTTTCTGAAAATAAAGTTGGATTTGTATTTTTGTAGAGCAGTACCGTCATATCCTTTGGGGGAGGAGTCTCTCTGGCCGTGAACTTTGGGTGCGATGGCCCGTTTCCCGTACACCGGGTGGTTGGTGCTGCCGTCGAAGGCGCTGTAGTCGAAGCTGGTCTTGGAGTACTTCTCCAGCTCCTTGGCCAGGTTGGAGCGCGGCGTGCTGGTGGAGACATTGTTCTTGTAACCATACTGTGGATAGTCCAGTTGTTTGACAAAGCACATAGGCCTGGAAAATAAATGACGAGGGGGTGGAAGTTGGACTGAGGCACTCAAGATTGCCCAGGGGAAGGAGAGGGAACTTCATGCAACTTGCATCTGCCCAAAAGAAAAGGGCAGATGCAAGGGTATGAGCAGAGGTTCATGGAAACACTCCAGGATTGGAAGATGGAGGATGAAACTAGTAGATGGTTGAGATGATTAAGAGTTTGGGGCCTCCATTGTTTACACTATATTCATGGATGCTTTCTCCCCCGTATATAATAATATCTCTGCTACAAGTGATTTATTTTGTACCTAGACAATAAAAAAACTGCCAAAATTGAATTTCCACATTCATTATACTGGCATACTTCTGATGTGCTCTTATCATTTGATATGCATTTATATCCCAAATCTAAGAACAGGAAGAAATGAAAAGCAGGATTGTATGCTGTTGATGTTCAGTTCATTCAAAAAGCTCTGCCTGCGCTATGATACATGAGGCCAATTTTGTCAGGATCTAATAAAACCGTTTGCCTTCGACAGTGAGCGCAGAAATGAACATGCAGCCTGTTGGAAGTATTCTCAGGGGACAGGAGAACGTAAACATAAAACAAAAAGGGGGGACTCAAATCTCCGCCGCTTCAAGAAATGAAGGGGAAAAAAAGAACAAAACATTCCAGCGTGACTGAATAAATGATATAATACAGACAGTATAATTGAACACAAAACACACATGCCCTTTTAGTGCCTGACCACCTACTATACAGCCAATGGATTGAATAACAAAGGCTGCAGAAGGACTTTTATCTATGCTATCTGCTTTCTATCCCATATTTAGGCTACGTCCAACCTATCATTTCATATGGGATGTATATCAAATCGAGAAGGGGAATACTACCTTAGGACTCGGTCAGAGGCCTGGTTGGATTTGGGGAGGTCGCAGCCCACGTGCTTCTCCTGCGCTTTGGCCAGTTTCTCGGCTGCAGCGATGGGACATCCCGACAGACTGAAATAAGAATGAAACCTAAGCAATGGAACTTACTTTTGAAACATTTTGATAGGTGAAAATGTTATCATAATAGCACATGCTGTTAAAAGTGTGGGGTACATGTCAGCCGCCAAAAACCTGACCAGCTTAAAATACTAACTCATTAATGTTCATCACTTGTAACTCTTAAAAGTGGCAACAGCTTGCATGTTTCTGGTTGATCGGTTTTAAATAATTCTAACAATAGATATTCCCATATGGACAAGTACATAATGTGCATGTATTTCCTTCAAACATGTGCTGACAAGACACAACAACACTTGGGCTGTTCACCTACAGCATGTTCCGGTTGGATTTACGTCTGTAAAACTTCCTGACTGACCAAATGTCACAAAAGTTCATGTTGTTATTCTTAACCCCTATTACTCCCCATCCAGTCTGTCACTGTAGTGTGCCGGGCCGTGGTGAAAAAAATGATCTTTGACAATGGCCTGAAGCCAGTGTGGAGTTCCTGAGCTGCTGTCATGGGACGTGTGCCGGTATAACGGTGTGTATCAGGTGCCAGAGTTTATGGAGGTTTATATCAGCGCTTTCTAGTAAAAGTGAAAGTATACTGTGCGTGCCTATTTTCACTGAACCCAGCGTGGATGCATGCTGCTGCTCCCGGGTCTGCACCTCTCTTGTCACCCCTGCTGAGTGGCAGAAAGGTGCTAATGGCTACTGCTACGCCCGACTCCCTGAGCATCTGCTGTGTGTGACACTCCTCTCTCACTGTCACCTCGCCCCGTCTGACAGCACTGGCGACAGCGCCCTGCTATTTCAGTTATTCCCTCCAAACCTGCACCTGATGGATGCAGTTCTTTTGCCACGAGCTGATGAATGATTTATGCTGTGGAGGGTGTGAATTGCTGCATTCTAATCAGTCTCGGTTAAACCACGGGAAAGGTAGGCAGCTGAACTGCTTTTATGATTCATTTTGAGCAAGCATTATAAGAAGGAATGTACTTTTCCACACACCGAAAATAATATGTTGCAAAGACAAAAAATAATGGGTTTCACAATAAATAAAAAAAACGAGAAATTAGACAATTATTTCCAAACAAAAATGTAAAAAATAAGTCCCAAGGTGAAAAAAGAAAGGTGCATTATGGACAGTGCCAGTTTCTTGCGGGCAGGCTGTCACTTACCTTCTGTGGGAGTTTCTGTTGCTATTGACATGGCCGCGTCCCGTGCAGCCCAGCGTAGGACACTTAAGAACATTCTCATACATAGCCACGACTTCACGCAGACAGCAGATAGGAGTGAAAGACAGGGAAGGTTAGGAGCCCCTTACGATCACGCATGAGCTCTATTAGTGTATGAGGAGCTTGGCATTATAAACATCATTAAGAAATGAGCCTGTGCGAACCCAAATGACCTTTTCTTCATTTTAATGAACACTAGTTTGAGAGGGCAGGCAAGGTTTCCCACCATATTGCTACCACTTATCCGGCCTTTCAAATTAGTATTCATGGAATAGGGGACAGTCATGAATAAAAAGATGTCATTTAGGTTTAACAGGACAAAGCCAGCGAGACAGAAATGGAGGGAAATTCTAGGCATGCAGAGCAACCAACAGCCAGCAATCATGCAAAACACAAAACCTTGAAATCAATGGGGGACGCAGACACATGGAACACAGCCCTCTGATAGACTGTTACCATTCTGTGCGTTGTTAGGGTAGAGAGTGCAGTCTTCAATACCATTTACCATTAAAACAGTCCATAACTGTCTCAGATCCCCTCGGCAACCAGCCAATTAGATTAATGATCTATGGATGTCCGAGTGGAGCCGTTGGAGCCCTGCAGGCGGGGGCGCGGGGAAGGGTCGTCTCCAAATCAGCGGCTCGCAGGGCCAAACCCCACTGGCACCAGCTTCATCATTATCACCCCCTTAAACTTTAACCCCTCATCTTCCTCCTTCCCTTACATACTAATTGGCGTTGGCTGCAGGTAATTGGACGAAGCCTGCCACCTCAACATGCCACAAGCCAATACATTATATATGCTGGTGCCACCATGCCCTCTGCAGACACACAGAGAACGGCAAGAAATTAAACTGTGGTTATGTAACTAAGCGTCGTACTTAAGTGTTTATTTGAGGTACTTTAGGGAAATATTGTATTTTTTACTTTATTTACCCTACAGCTTTAGTTACTTTACAGATTAAAACTTGGGCATAAAACATCAAACATATGAGATATGATGTTTGTTTCTAACAAATTAAACTAGCCACTAGACTTCTTTTTAAGAGATTTATGAATCGGCGACCAATAACAAATATCTAATTTTCATTTTTTTTTAGAATAATCTTGTGTGTTTTGGAACATTCTCAATTACAGTGTGTTATTAGTACTTTTACTCAAGTAAAGTATCTGAATACTACTTTCACCACTAAATGAAAGCACTAAGCCTGATCCAGTGAGAAAAGTATGACAGGAGGGTGCAAACAGGAAGCAATGTGCCTCCAAATGCAGACGTGGTAATTCCCTTTTAAAGACAAAAACAAAGACTCCCATGTGAGCTAGTTCAATATTTTAGCACGCCACAGAAAGGAGCCACAATGAGCAAACAGGAATGGGAGTTAATGAATTTGAGATATAATTTAATCGTCATTTTTCACATTTCCCAAGGAACAGTCTGGTTGCCCCGTGTGATTTCCCAATTAGATGGAGCCACTGCATTAATAATACATTGTCCATTCAGCAGAGCAAATGTGTTAATAGAAGAGAGAGACTTGCCCACAGCTAAATCCTCCCTACAGGGTCATTTTGTGTCAAATCAGATAGAGCGTTTTCGTTTACATATTTGATTTTGTTTAAATCTTTTGTATGTGCTATTTGAGAGCAAAAAAACTAGTTTTGCTAAATATCTTTGGCTCATTTTGGAGATTACAGAGTTGATTGCCACTTGGAACATTGCCATTTTCCCCTACAAAATCTCTTAGGCATGAAAGCTATTTTGATGGTTCAATATCTTCAGACATATAACTCATAATGATTGAAAGGCACAAGAAGATGTCATATATTTCATCACTGGCCCTTGACAATGGAAGACATTGCAAAATGGGTGTTTTGGGGCCCCTGGCAGTCCTCCAAAGTACAAACGTATGGATGTATTTCCTGGTAAAATGCAGAATTAGATTTATTGTTTTGGCAAAGTTCAGAGGCCTTGACATGAACAGTCAGATATATGACAAGTACAACAATTAAGGTTGCCAAAATAGCAATGAGAAGGCTCATGTCTTTTAATACTCACAATATTGCCAAAACATATTTTTTGCTCTCAAATATGAGATTGCTCATCTATACTTTTAAAGTAGTGAAGCACAAAGTGTGCATGGGGCTGTTTACCAGATATTAACAAAGTCTGGTGATAATGAAGATATATCTCAACCAAAAGCAGGTAACTCAGAGAAGGTCACCTCTAAACAGCAACATGACTCTGGGTGTGTGTGTGTGTGTGTGTGTGTGTGTGTGTGTGTATGTGTGTGTGTGTGTGTGTGTGTGTGTGTGTGTGTGTGTGTGTGTGTGTGTGTGTGTGTGTGTGTGTGTTTCAATCTCAAGTATCCTATGGAAGTGAGGAGCAAAGGGCCGAAGATGATGCCACAAAGATCAAGAAACTAACTTTTTGTGATCCAAAGCACCCTGTGCCGTATTACTTGTATCGTTTCCCCCAAAAAGTCAGCCCCATCAACACAAGTGAGGAACAGGAGGAGGAACGGAGACATCATGTTCCAACATCTCCAGTGACAATCAATTCAAGTCCATTCCAAATTCCATTTTGGGGCTCTTGATCCCAGCCAAGGTCAAGTGCTCTGAGTCATTTTGCATTTCTCTGAGACGTCTCAGGTGAGGGACCTGAATGTGAGCGGCGCTCCGCAGAACAAGAGTCAGCTGACACTGCTCGTCTTTAATGCTAACTCATTCATTTGCCATTATTAAACCCTCTTTTATTTTGATTGCAGTCTGGGTCATGACTGATCATAACTGGATGTTCACGCGGCACTCAATGAAACGTATAAAAGGGCTTTTATTGAGAAGTTGGCACAAGGTGAACAAGACTAAATAGCCAGGGTAATATCTCCAAAGGCAAAACTCACTATTTATTCAAGGCTAATGTTTATTGCCACTTCACTTGATCCGTGGCTTAGAGATGCTGTGTGATAGAGCCCTTCTATTCAACAGAACTTAATTAAGCAAGGAATACAAATAGATACAGGGGTGTATGGCATGGATGACTGAGGCAGGCACATTGTTATCAAGATCTGGGAACAGCTGGGAGTTTTTTGAGAAAAACATAAAAGGTGAAGACACATTAAAACTCTACAAAAATGAGATACAAAAGCATGGCATTCAACCTTTTCTTATCAGTCACATATTGATGAGAAGAAGCATGCAACACATTTAACCTTACAATGGTGAAACCAACAAGTAGATAGGACTGCATATGCATTTACCAACTGTCAGTCAATGTATGGAGGAAAAAGTCTCATGCAGTCATGTAAATCAGTGATTGACAGCTCTTGGCCATCCCACCAATTACTGAACAGCCTCTATTTGCACATCACCAAGGCTTCCTTTCCCACCTCATCACCACGGCACACAGGACAGGCATTCCGCAAGCAAAACCATGGCCACATGCAAAAGGTCACAAGAGAAGTGCAGCTGTGACCTGTCTGACTCTCACTGCCCCCCCCCCAAACACATAACAGCAAGGACACATCACACAGAACAGTGATCACAGGAAACATGCCGATTCCTGATCACCAGAGGACAGGACGGTTGGATATATAGGTGTGTACGACTAGTGCTTACTTTCTGGTGGCACCCTGTCTTTGTGCGGACAGCCCGACAGACTCCGGTGGTGGGGGTACAGGCCCGTCACGTGCCCCGTGCCGTCACAGCCCGGTGTCGGACATCGACTCTCCTTCTTGTCTGCACGTGAAATATCTGTGAGCAAAAAGTCATTTTGTGATGATCACACATGAGAAATGCTGAACTGAGCACAAGGTTACAAGGGAGTTAAAATACCATTGGGGGGATAACTAAAAGTGTATTATGTTGTGTTGAGAGCTGTGAACAGCTTTATCAGTAAGGAACAGATGTTAACAAAACATATGCAGTTTGGATTGTGATGGTCCGTCTGTTCTGGATTTCATTGACTTTTCAAAAACTATTTCTAGTGGCATCATTTCTAGGAGGTTCATGGCGCTCTTCGCAATCACATTTTGAACAATATATTTATTTATTGCTTTTATAAATTGTTTTAAAACAGTAAATTATCACAATTTGATTCTATTTGAATCCAATGGGTATACAGTAGTTGAGTTATTTTCAGTTTTAGTTGAAGAACCTGACTTTACCCTTCTACTTGCTGAAACCAAGTCTTGACTATTGTAACCAAAACAGTAGTTTTTTTAAATGTATTTTTTTTTCTTATTTTTTGACCATTATTTATTGCTGTGCTTATTTGAAGTAACGTAGTGAAGACAAATATGCCACAATTGGCTCGCTGACGGCTCTTTTGATCATGAATTTTGTTTACCGTAATGAAATTGTGAAAATTAGTGAAATATTCCGACTCTCGGGTTAGTGACCTTCAACAGAAAGCATTTCAGCACTTCAGTTCAGATTCAAACAAGATGAATTACAGTGTATTAGGTGAGTGTGACAATAAGGGTTCAAAGAGCACATACTGTACACACACACACACACACACACACACACACACACACACACACACACACACACACACACACACACACACACACACACACACACACACACACACACACCACACACACACACACACACACGCACGCACACACACACACACACACACACACACACACACACACACACACACACACACACACACACACACACACACACACACTCATTGTCTTTCCCTCCCCAAAAACCTCTTCCATTTATCCGAAGCCCAGATCAGATATAGTTTCCACCAAAAAGCACCAACGCCCAGCTGTGCCAACTGGCATTGTTTCTCTGTAACCGTCCACCTTTAAATCACTTTGACTCTCAAACAAGGTCGAGGAATGTTCTTACAATCGACCTGCAATGGCTCTAGTTGGGTGCATTACCATTTAAAATCCAAATTAGGATAATATACGAAGCAATAAGGGCCTTTAATATATTTTCACAGCAGAGAGACAGGAGAATAGTGCTGTATCAGATTGTGTATCAATTTGGAGTCATTTGAGTGACAGAAACCATTATCTAGAGCAAGTATTAGCCAAGTGGACAGGGGAGCAGCCATTATCTCATGCCACAGAAAGACAGACCACTGATTAAAGTTTTACAGGCCTGTGTAACTTAGCAGCTCAACCTAAGGCCCTTTCTGGCAAACCAAAATAAAAGCAGAGTTTGTGGAGTAAGAGAAGAACAATCATGTGAAGGGGGTTGAGAAAGGACTACATTGAGGGGCATGGAGCACACCTACTCATACAATTACAAATGAGTCACCAAATGAAATCCCATGCCGCATTCATCAGGAAAAAGCACCTCATTATCCTCCATGGCTATCATCTATCCATGTCACGTTAGGAGCATATGAGTGTGGTACACATTTGCTGTGTCATGTCAGCCTCTCATCTGCACCAGTGAAATAAAGGCAGGGAAATGCGTGTTGATGAAGAACTCGTCTGCATCTTAATAATGGTTTCTTTTGAGAAAGATTACATTGGGTTTTAGTGCTTGAACAGCAGGTTGGATATCATTCTGTATTTCCACATGGCCTACGTGATGTTGCCGTGTGTTCCGCCTGCTTCCATTGCAGGGAGTGGAAGCAGCAGAGTGGAAGGCATATTAGAAAGCAGGGGATATTGATTGTGGCTGGGGACGGTCTGCGCTTTGCATAGCAAATGGCCCCCATTACCATACCATCTCTGGATAATTAATGTGCAGTCAGTTGGGCTGCCGTTCGTTATCGGTCATTTTGATACTGTTACATTTTCATCTCAGCTCGTGCTTCTCTTAGGAGCAGGGCTCTTCCCTGAACCCCCCTCCCCCATCTGATCCCCCCTCCCTCTCCATGTTCTGTTTTATGAATCACATAGGAACCTTGGTCAGCGAGTGTCTGCCACTATCTCCCCCGAAGAGAGATGTTATCGTGACGCAACTGTCTTTTGCGTCCTCTCATTATTCCGACATTAGCCAGACACCGAGGCCACGGAAAGCTTAACATTTGTGTGGCATTTAAGGCGCAATATATACCTGCTGTGAGTCGTGTGGCATTAAAGGCGTAATATAACCCAGCTGTAAATAAGCATGCTTTAATTGGTTGGCCTCATCTGATATGTTCCTTGTGGGGGGAATTTATCTAACCTAACTTAGTGTGAACATTGTTGCAGTCTGGGAAATGATGAGAGGAACAATCAAGAGTTGATGAAAGCATGAAATTAGACACTGGAAATGCCACTGCAACTCTCTATGTTTAAGAGCATACATCGAGCACATTACCAGTTAACTGTATTACTACTGATGCCATGCTGCAGTCTTGGCACTATACGATTAGCCATATTAGTCTTTCTGTGATTTTAGTAAACATCAATCTAAATGGTAGGTCATAGGTGTTACAAACAAGGGTACAATGTTTTTCATGTTCCCTGCAAAATGAATCCTCTCTAAAGGCAGAGGCCTCTGTTTTGTAGCTTCCTCTCCAGAGTGCTTGCGCAGGTTTAAAAATAGGCAGCTTTACCCCAAGCTGCATCGCAGGGATGAGATTTGCGGTCCTAACAGGCCGTGCAGATTGCCATTACTTATGCCTGACAAGCCGACCCTCTGATGTTTCCATGCTGGCCTATTTTAACAACATAAGCTGCTGCTGCCGCTCCCGCTGCTACCGAGATGCGAATTTCCAAATTGGCTGAAAAAGGCTTGTCCTGGGGTTATGGTGAGGTTCCCAGAATGCATGTGGGCTGTCTTCAGTACAGGATAGATGAGAATACAGAGCAAAACAGCGGCAGACAAACATTTTACCTGAGCTTGCTAAATGAGGAAAAAATGTCTACAATTGTCTATTTTCCAATTGAGAAATAAGCACTCACCTTTATGGTAGAAAGGCTTCTTCATACCATCATGAAGCCGGGCTTTGCGCTCCACACCGTAGCCGTGCCGTGGTCCATGGTCGTCATGGCCGTACCTCGCCCCGTCTCTCCTGGCAGCCTCGGCCGCCATTTTATCCCGCATTGCCTTGGCGCGTTCTGACTCTAGTGCAATGGCCTTCTCCAACAGAGACAGGTTACCCTTTGTCATGTCAAACACTTCTTCCGATCGGTCCGACGTCACAGAGGCCGTGTCCTCGTCAAAGTCCCGCAGGTTGGTGTGATATCGGTTCTCCTGCGTGCAACTGGCGAAGGCCTTGGAGCGTGGGCTCAGCTGCTCCTCCAGCTTCAACAGATTGTCCATGTCGGAATAGTTTCTTTCAAGCGACCGCCTGTCGTCTTGGTGGAAATTCCCGTAGTTGTGATGCTGGGCCGGTTGATTGGGATCTCCGCACGGAAAATGGTTTTGCCCGGGTGGTCCATTTCGGTCAGTGGACTTGGTTTCGCTAAGTTTCCGAGCCAAGTCGAAGCATTGGTTCCGTAGGCACTCCAGACTGCTTAAACAAACTTCCTCGTCGCTGTTTTCTATTTGTCCATTACTGTTGATCTTAACTTGTCCGTTACCACCATTGTGACCGTTGTGAGGATAAGCATTCTCCGTGCCGTCCTCAAACTCCTGACCCTCTAAATTGTCAGAAAGTACCGCGCCGTGACCTTGTGCTAGAAGTTTAAGCGAGTCCACCGTCTCCCGAACCACGTCACTGTCAACGTCCAAACTCAGATTCCCCCTCTGTGGTCCATCCCCTTCCTCCTCTTCCTCGTCCTCCTCTTCGTCCTCCTCATCCTCCTCTTCATCATCATCATCCTCTTCCTCAGCACTGTTCGAGGAGTTGCTGTTCAACTCAGATTCCGTCAAGGCTCGGTTGGCGGCGTCTTCTGCGATCTTGCCCAGGTTGAGGAGGGACTTGGCCACGAGTTCATCGTAGTTCTCGTACTCTTCGCCGTTGTCCTTCCCCCCTGGTGGGCCAGATCTGGCATCGCCGCCGCCACCTCGACGGACGCCCACCCCCTCGCTGCTGCTCATCTGATCGTCCTCTGTTGGAAAGAAAGAACAAACCTCTTGTAATTTAATTTCCGTCATTCTATTTTACTGGTAAATCAGATTTCTGGGCTTGGTCCATCTAAATTGGATAAGGAACTCTTTGCTTCCCCTAATCATTTACTTTGAGCGTCTTAACAGCAGCTTGTGTTCTGAATTGTGAATCAGCACAGGAAGTTAAATATAGTGGCTGGGGAAAGTTCCAGAGAAAGATGCTCTGGTAAATGGTAATCTATGAAACCAGGGACTTTATCTACGGCCTGTCATATATTTGCCCTTATTTCCTGGAAGTCTTTGTGAAAATAAATCAGGTTTTTAGAGTAATAATATTACAGAGGAATTCTGCAAATAGTTGCAAATGAGATAATATTGTATTCATTGTTCAGCTGTATCAAAACATTGTGAGAATATCTTTGAATTACAGACAGCTTCTTTTTTAAATTTTTTTTACAGAAGATTTTAAAATATGTCGAAAATCTGAGAGATAATATGATGTTCCATCTGCAACATGATGAACCCCCGTCAGTAGCTATTCATCGTTTGCGAGCAAAGTTATTTTTCCATTCAATCATCAGTATCTTTAGAATTCCTTTCACTGCCTAATTGATTCTGACAGACTGCAAAAGGTTACTGAACCTCTTCTGTCAGTAATTTCAAGCACTCACTCCTGGAGCACTTCCAATCTCGCCTTTCACATTTCCGCCCTGAGCCACCAAGAGCACATCGCTCACGACGGCGTCACATTTGCCACTTACATTCCTGAAGAGAGAATGAACCAAGACCCCCCCGCCCCACCACAAACAGAAATAATAAACACAGCACAATTATAGCAACATTTACCAGCCGAATACTTGTAAAATAAGCATGTTAGTAGAATATTTCAAGTACTTAACAGCAAAATAAAACCAATGGTAGTGTATTGGCTGGCTGGAGAATTTTAAATTCTCACTAGCCATTTGGCCAGTGGAATAAAAAGTAGATTTATTTTCAACTGAGTTAGGTTAATGTATAAACAAACATATTTTAATTATATATGAATGGCCCATCTAATTTGATGACATCATGTCTTTACTTACTCTACAACATGTGTGTATAGACTCCTTTTGGGAAATGGTTAAAAATCGTTTACATTCTGTTTTTACTAGGTATATTTACGTAATAATATTTTCTTTTTAAACGTAAACTTGATTTATTCAACAGAATGTATAATGATGCGTACAAGATAAGCCTGCATACTATGACAACATATACTGTACTGTACACAGGGTGTACACACACACCAATCTAATGAGAGCAACACACTATTGGTGCTTGGGGGGGTGAGGGCTTTGGAGCAAGAAGAGGGAGCAGTCACGAATGACCAGGCTCACATTTTGACAGTGGAAGCTTCCTAACAGCAGCTTCCTGCACCAGGGGTTTAATTTTTGATGGTATGAAACATGGCACAGGAAAGCAATTTGAAGAGCAATCAAGGTACACAAAAGAGATATGGAAGCGAAACAGATTAAGGAGAGAACAGAGGGACTGCCCTGCCCTGAATTGGCTCTGGATTAGCTACAGAGATGTGCACGCCACTGAGAAACAGAGAAGCTCCAGAGTGTCACCTCTATTACATTTGGGAGATTGGAATCTGCCCAGCGACGGTAATGAAGCTTACAGAAATATTTGTTGTGACTTTCTCAGGGAAAATGCTGTTCATTAAAGATATTGTTAAAGCCTCTGATTCCAATAAAGAAAACATCATGATTATCAGTGGTGGAATCTAATGAAGTGTATTTACTCAAGTCCTATTCTTAGGTACAATTCTCTGTACTTTTATTTTAAACTGCTTTATACTCCACTCTATTTCAAAACCTAACATTTTACTTTTTACTCCACTTCATCCAATTGACAGCTTAAGTTACTAGTTACTTTACAATTCAGATTATGAACTGATACAACATATAACTAAACTAATAAAGAAATGTTGACAAAATGAAAAGTTAAGATTTACTCAGGAAAAAAGCACTACTTGTAGTGACAGTGATAAAACCATTGTTGCATCGATAATCATAATCCAGTAATCTATATAAGAATATTAATTTGGCCATATGCACAGCGAGTACTTTTGGTCCTTTAATTACATTTTGATGCCAATTCTTACAGTAAAATACCCTTGTACTCTTAAGTGAAATTTAGAATGCACAATTCTGTTTGTAAAAGAGTATTTTTAAATGTTTGTATTGCTACTTTTACTTGAGTAAAATATGATGAGAGGATGTTCAGGAAGGTAATGAGCTACTGCTCGTGGACAGAAGCGCTGCTGACAGTTCGGAGGGACAGGCATCAGTCCACTGTCTCGGGGTTAGGCTGAGGCCTCGGCTGTGAGCTCTAATGAACACCAGTCTGTGGAGATTCACATTGTGCAAGGAAAGAAGAGCATGGCTGCTGAGATGCCACATCAACACTTTGGGTGGGTAGAGCTGCACGCCAAGCAGGGTTAACACACTCCTCTGTCAGAGCTTCACTCTTAATTGGACTTGAAGGCACTGTCAGGTCTAATCGTGATGCGGGGGTGCAAGGCAGAGTCTGCTCCAGAGAAACCTGCCAGATCTGGTCTCAGGCACGTCGGGAGGCGCAGATAGTCCCAAAACTGCAGGGTGCTCATGTATCATGTCTTCAGGGAAGGCATTATTAAAATCTTTGATTGTCAACATCTCTAGAATTCTTACGATTTTAATATGTATCAAGTGAGACTACTGAAGGGTTCCTTGTTTATGAAAATGACTACTTTCTGGTTAGTCTTTCTGTTGATCATGTCCCAGTTTTAGCTCTCATGTCTCTATTGTTTCTTTTAGAGGTCTTCTGGAGAAAGACTAAAGCACTTCAGTAGGACATAATTACAAAGGAGCATCCTGATTATTTTTGCCTCAGTTTAGATAATTTCTTTAATTAAAGTGCTAAACATTTTAAAGAGCTTGATAAAAACAAAATCAGGAAAGAAGACAATTGGGTGCTACTCCACATCTCCTGCATGTTCTGGTGGGGGCAGACTGCAGCTGTACAGTGAAGGCTTTGAACAGTATGCGAGTAAAATGTGCAGATGAATGAATAATTAAAAAATAACCAATCACTGTGAGAATAATACATTGTATTGCTAAAGCCATGCTTGATTCACAAACACAATCAGAGTTTGAACATCATGTCCAACTGCCCCAAGTCAGCCTGACAAATATGGAAATATAAATCACTGATATGCAAATGCAGCACTTTAAATGGCTAGAAACATATTGGGGGTTTGAGTCACGTCGTCCGTTCAAGTAAAAAAGTTTGCAGTAAACTCCTCAGCGACATATTACATTTGTGTCTATATAATGTGAAAACCAGCAGGAGGAGAGCTAGCTAACGTTAGCTGTTAGAAGTGCTGCTTGGCTAAATAACCAAGCTAACATCTGACATAAAGAGAGCACATTTTTAATGGGTTACATTATTATGAGTTAAAGCTGTATACATTCAAACTTAGTTTTGAGCGGCCGTTTATTATCATCACATGTTCAAATGTAAGGTTCTAATTTTTTTTTAGAAACTTTAAAAAATACAGTTGTTTAAATTGTTGGAATGTTTGCGCGGCAGTATCAAATATTTATATTAGGTATGGAATTATGATCTGTAGAGAATCGTAGAATTTCAATAGTATTGGTACTATGCAGTACGACTACCTACATTTCTGGTATTGTGGCATCCCTAATAAGGCCTGTTTTCCTTTAAAGAAATACAACGTGTTATAGTGCATTAGCTGCATTGTTATCACCTTTCCAAAGTGCTTTTGTTAATACGAAGAGATCTCACCTTGCCCTTGATTCTGCTCTCCTTCCTCCTCTTCCTCCTCTTCCTCCTCTTCTTCCTCCTCTTCCTCCTCCTCCTTCTCCTCCTCCTCCTCTCCATCGTCATAGTCCACCTCCTCTACTGCATCCTCCTCTTCTTCCTCTTCCTCCTCCACCCTCTCTTCATCAGCCTCTTCCTCCTCTTCCTGCTCCACCTCTACTTCCTCCTCCTCCTCCTCCTCCTCCTCCTCAGCCTCTCCATCTCCATCCCCTCTCTCCACCTCCCCTTCTTCGGGCTCCATTTGCTCCTCGTTGTAGTCCACGTAGCCTTCCACCTCTTCTTCTTCGTGCACTTCACCCTCTTCCTCCTCCTCCTCTACCGCTCCTTCCTCCTCCTCTTCCTCCCTGTCGTCCATCTCCTCGGTTCCGTCTGTCTCGTAGCACTCCTCCATGGTGGAGTTGTCCATGTCATCTAGGTAGGTGCTCCTCTTGGGGGACGTTTCCAGGGTTTGTCTGTCTAGACTCTTTCTCTTCTTGGCCTGGGGGCAGCCGTACACACTGCGGAGGGGAGATAAGAGTGCAGCCATTAGCGGTTAGCCTTAAATGCTAATGCTCATGTGCAATAAGGCATCTGTGTTAAATTACTGTGGTTTACAATCCACAATCCAATACACCAATGGAACAATGGGCCTCTTACTGCAAGGAGAGCAATGCCTGAAATTCTTCTTCTGGGGGAAATATTACACTTTGCTTAAGGAATCTTAATTAGACATGTACTCATTAACTACGGGCAATTCTAATAAAACGCTCCATTTCTTCTAGAACACAGTTTACAAAAGAGATACAATCTTGATCTTTAAAGCAAACAAGGCGGAAGATTCCGTTTATTTTTACATTAATTTGTATTAAGGTAACATCAATTTATTCTTCAGGCAAAAGAAAACCACAGTGCATGCTCCGCAAACACTTTGTTCCAGCGCGATATGCAGCGCAGCAAAACACGACTACTTGTCTGGAAGTGACTGTAAGGGGGGGGAGGGGGGGGGAGGGGGGGGGGGGGGGGGGGAGACAACCTGTAGCCTGATTAATTGAATCTTGCCAAGGCACCTTAGGTTTTAATGTATTCTCCGGCTCCCCTCGGCAGCAGGGGGACAGATCCTAATCTGATAATCTGATAATCTGTGTATTCGCTCAGGCTATTGATCAAAGGGGCTAAATCCATTTCACTCATCAAACCTCAGAGAGCCCCGAGCTGCTACCTGGCCCCCCATGTGAGTGACTTTAGAATGTGTGTTGCTGTGTGTACATTCATGTATGAGTGTGTGTGCGCACATTTGGCACATTCCAACAAAAGCACCCTCACAGTTAGAATGATGACGAGTTATGCGGAGTGTTTCGGCCATGACATAAAGCCTGTGCCCGGGCTGGAGTGTCAGAGAGCTAAACACGCTTTGGGCATGTTCACTCGGCTGTGAAATATCCCTGGCTCCTATTTTTACAACCTCTGGATGTTTCCCCGGCTCTGCGCTGCTTAAGAGTGAGACCTGATGTGAGTGAATGGCACAAGGCTCCGGGTGAGACTGGAAAATGGTAGTTAGTCAATCTGTGCTGCTTTTGGCGCGGACTCGCTACAGAAAAGGCTTATCGCACGGTGAGGTGGTATCGCGGTCTTAGAAACCCATTACTGTTCCCAGTTTTTAATGTCAGTGTGTCCAGCAGTCCAATATCCTATCCATCCTTCTCTGCCGGCCCCCGCTCCCTCTCTCCTCCGTCCCTGACGTCCATCAGTCAGTCAGGGTACAGTCAGCTGGCAGGCTCAATCTCGCCCAGGCCCCTGGATTCCTTAATGGTCTGACCCCCTGCACCCCCCGCAACCTGGGGCCTCATTTCATTAATCTAAGCCCACATGGAAACTCATTCCCTGCCTGACAGCCAGACCTCTCCCCCAGGGCAGCGCGAGGGTCTGCGGGATGGTGAGGGAGGGTGTGTGTGTGCTGCGGCACTGTGATCAATAGTGCTTGTGACCAAACATCTCAAAAGCACATTAAAATGCCACTCATCCTGGCCCCTGTGTTCCAGCGCCCTCTCCAAATAAATCAAGGGCCGGTCCCAGCAGGTTAGCGGCTGCCAAGGCAGGCGGGCTGGCAGGAGAGGAGGATAGGTGAGTGGGGGGGGGGAGGAGGAGGGGGAGCGTGGAGGGAAAGAGGGAGAAATGTGGGAATGGCACATAGGCCCTCTCCTTCTCAGTCTCCTGGTCCCGCCTCTCCATCTTTATCCTAGGATGTGCTGTCAGTCGTTGCAGCAAAACTCAGAGGCTGACAGGGATTCATGTATGTGACTACGCCTGAATCACTCTTTCAAAATAGCTGGAGCTAATGGATAGCTTATAATACATATTGGGCTGTGTATTTGCTCACTGTATTTTTTAAAAGGCGTCAAGTGCACTTGAATATTTCGTATCCAGATTGCACAAACAAAGAGGCCTTTTGAGAGCATGCATAATAACCTGACTCTGCTAAAAGTCCCACCTACAGGAACACACATTTGGCTCCGGTTTAAACACGACTGCAGAGCCTCTTATGTAAATGTTTTGTAATCACGCTCGTGCTAAGAGGCGTTGTCAGGTTGTTGTGACACCGTGAGAGGTGTGTTTGCCCCGACGCTCCACAGCCCCACCATGACTCAGCCACAGGAAGCCTCCACAGCTCTGCCATCCCACGTTCCCTGGCTGTGTCGCCGTGTGACCTTGGCTGTGTCGCCGTGTGACCTTGGCTGTGTCGCTGTGTGACCTTGGCTGTGTCGCCGTGTGACCTTGGCTGCAGCGATTGGCATCACAGACAACGCGTCCCACTCGCTGCACTTGGCAATTTCAATTCCAGAAATAATCAGGTGGCCTTCAAAAATTAAAAAAGCAAATACCGGCATTCTGCAGGTATTGTGCAGGGAAAGACGAGAACACATACCCATCTAAGCTTCCCTTTGCTTTGTCCTCTGGCAGAATCACATAAAAGAGGAGGGTGCCCTACGAGAGGTAGCAATCAAAGAAGAAAGGAGCTTCAGATCACAAAGAGGAACACTTCAAATGTCATGTAGTAGGCATCCTCACTATTATGAGATGGAACAAATGATATGAGGGCGTGAACAAGTGGCCCTTGTATGCAGGAGAAAACCCTCTGTTAATGTTACAGAGAGGGCTCTATTTTCTGGAGCATTAGTGTGAGGTGGGAGCGGCAAGAGAGGCAGAGCTCCCGTTTGGCTCATTTTGGGCGACAGTTGAGCGACTGCTGGAATGTGACGGCGTTCCACGGCGCCTTTATTAGCAGTCACATTAGCGGCTGTTCTCAGCGGGGGCAAAAGCTTTAGCCGGTCATTAGCATCACACGCTATTTGTCTCCCAGTGACACAGGGAGGAGGCTGCCTCTCCCCCTGCCTCCTCTCACGGCTGCTTTTCTCTCCTCTCTCCCTCGTCATCTCTTCCTGTCACCCACACTCTCACCTCATATTTCTCTGTGTCTGTTCTCACCCATCATAACTTCACCTGCTTTCTTTCCTTCCAAACATCCACTTTCTACCACCTCCTCCACACACTGTATATCTCACAGAGTATGTTTCTCTCCACCTGCACCCTGTTTCCCATTTCCTCCTATCTCTCCCCCCTGAACCCGAGCTCATTGTTGACGCTCCTTCACTCTCTGCAGAGCACACTAGAGATGGAGGGAACGCACCACCTCTGGCTGTGCCCCCTATCCAGCGGGAGGATCTATAGACACGTGTGGCAGAGCCCCGTCTCCATGGTGATACCCTCCAGAAATCCATGAGGGATTCACCATCCTCACAGCAAGCCAGTGAGGAGAAATGAGAGAGAAAGACAGACAGGGAGAGAAGATGAGCAGAGGGGAGGATAAATAGAGGCTATAGGAGCGAGACAGACAGGAGAATGTATGTTTTTATGTGCATGTGCGTATATAGCTCTTATGTGTGCACGCACAATTGGGGGATATACGGTGGAGCAGTTGAAAAGAAAGAAGAGGGATGTGTGAAAGAGGAGAGGATCATTTCAGAGCTGTCAGGCTTCTCCCGCTAGCTAGGGGAGAACAAAAGAGCGAGTCTTGGTGCAGGAGGCTCAGCGCATGGCAGACGCTGCAATTTGGGCGTTTTCTGTCGCCTCTCGCTCACATATCAGCTGCTTTGGCTCACGCACACACACAGCAGCTTGTCCTTAAACTCATAAAATATTACTTCATAGCTGCGGTGTCACTGAAACATGTATGATGTTTTTGTGAATGTGCTGAATTTACATGTCCACTTGGATTTACACCAAAGTCTTATTAATACGAGATGTTGGCATATTATCTTTTCTCGTGTGGATGCATATTTCAACAAAGCAGTAACATCCTACATTTCTTGGTAATACGACGGTGTATATGTTGTTTTTAAGACGGCTAAGAGGCATCAGCCCCCGACAGCCATGCTCGGCAATGGTTTCGATAAGCCTGTTGTTGCCCATTCACTGCTCCGGCTCTAGAATTTGTAGCCTGCAGCTAACAAAACCCAGTCTCAACTTTAGTCAAATACTCACACTAAGCCCCTCTGCCCGGACAGGACTGAGATACAGCACGGACTCTAGTGGACATCTCAAATGCGGCTAACCAACATCTCGCTACATTTTATCCTGCAGAGTCCATCCAAGGCGTGAGCGGCTCCTCTTCAGCTGCTTTTATTCATATCTGCCAACTACTATTCACAGGTGGTGTGTGCGCCTCACTGACACTGTCCCATCGAGGAGTGGTGGAGTACTTGGTGGAGGATGTGGGAATGAAGCTGAGAGCATTAAAGATGGGATAAGACAAATCAGGGCTGTTCAGATAGAGGGATGGGCTACACATGATAGTCTAGTCAAAGATTTGGAAATGTGGGTTGGAGCTTAAAAGATAAGTTGATCAGACGTTTAAAAGAACAATAATGGGGAACTGATTTAATGAGTGATTTAATGTTTGAGGGATTTTAAGCAAAATGTCAACCATTTGCTTCTAAGTATTGAATCTGAAGATGACTCGATAATAAAACAAATGGTCAGAATTAGGGGTGTTGAAAATAATCGTTTCTACGATGCATTGCGATGCGGACGTGGACGATTCGGTATCGATGCAGTGACGGAAGATAATCGGTTATAGCGTAGTAACGTTGCTTCCTGATTTTCCGGCCGCGGCTTTACTATAACGTTTTTTTTTTTCTGTCACTTTAATATCAAATCGGTCGGTAACGTAGAGATCAGGGAACAGACGTGACAGCGGTACAGCAACACCAAACACGGAGCAGTCTGCTTTATCCACCAACACAACACCACCAGTCCAGAACCAACAGCAGAAGGACCCGCTCTGAATCACTCCGTGTCGCTGCGGCACAGGGATTTATGTTTTTCAAAAATAATTACGTTACAATCATGTCAGGTTTTTGGTGGATTTAATTAAGTCTTGGATTGCAAAGTATGAATGTCCTCTATCAATTTTCAGACGATATATACGTGTGTAAAGTTTGTGAAGGCAGGAGGAAAAAAG